TCACAAGGTAATATAATCAACTTCCCGATGGTACTTCGCATCAGACTGTTGCCATTCAATTAGTCATATTGAGTAGTAAAGAAGTCTGAATACATTTTTTGGTCTTCGCGTGTTGAGTAATGGGGATTTTACTCAACTTTCGCTGTATGAACAGAAAATCGCTGAGACCCTGATGGATCGAATTTTCTCCATTGATAGGTATTATAGCTACTAGAAACATTCCAAAATTTGAGCTAGAACAAATATATCTGTGTTAAACTATCAACTTGTCACAGAAAAGTCTCTCTTCAGAAACGCAATCCAAAAAGGGATTTCTTTAAAATGTAAATATCTTATCAAGAATACATTTATTCTAACTGAAACTATAGAATGTTTTCAGTGATTAGAAGGTCTATCTATAGAAAGAAATTCATATCGAAATTCGACCATCAAAATTCTTAGTGGTTCTATGCTTATGTGACAAAAACCTAGTAAAACGTCCATAACTCGATAAGTAAAGACAAGAAAATCAAAACAGAGATTTTTTTACTACTCATTATGACCGATCGATTAGTAATAGTTTCAAGCGAAAATCGGCTACATAGTTGGGAATGTTCCCTTGTCAGTATATGAAAGACAATCTATTATAAAAATATTTTGCGATTGTTTTCAATTTTTTTGTTTTTCTTTTATTCGCTGCTTAGAACGGCGATTCAATTCACAAGCAACAACAAACAATCAATGATGTTATAATGTTATTTTCTTCTTTATATAAACATTCTTTAGATATGATTTGTTTTAATATGCAAAATTCCCTGGTACTCCTGGTTGTATTGGTGGTTGTTGTTGTTGTTGTTGCTGTTGTTGTTGTTGTTGAGAAGGTAATTGTTGTGGATGACCAATTTGTTGAGGTAACTATTAAGAAAAAATAAAAATCAAATAAAAATAAATTAAATTAATTTTACTGGTTCCATTTTTCTTTCTTTTGCTTCGGAATATGGATGTGTAATTGGTGTTTCTTCTTTAGGTTGTACAATTGAAACATGATCAGGCAATGGTTTTTTAGCACCTTTGCCTTCTTTTGTATCATATGGTAACATAATTTTAACTTTAATACCAAGTACACCTTGACGTAAAAGTACATGTCGTACAGCAAATTGCACATAATCATTAACGGGATCACCCGAATGAATCATTAAACCATCAATAAATTTCATTGCTTTAGCACGTTGACCACGTAATTTACCTGATACAACAATTTCGCAACCTTGAGCACCTGATTCCATTATAAAACGTAAAACACCATAGCATGCTCTAAAGAAAAACAAACCAAATAGAACAACAGATTTTTATCATTATTGTTTCTTTGTAAATTTTACCGTCGTACAGGGAGTCCACCCATAAGTTTATAACGTAATGATTCAGCTTGTGCTATAGCACATAAACCACGTGTAACAACCTTTTGAGCGAATAATTCAATTGAATTTTCTGAATAACCAAAACGTTTTTGAATAACTGATGTTAATTCACGAATACGACGACCTTTTTCACCAAGTACTTGTTGAGTTTTTGTTGCCATGATAATGATTTCAGTTCGTTGTGGTGTTACACGAACTTCAAGACCGGAATAACCATCTTCGGCTAATTCACGGGTGAAAAATTCATTGAGTTCAGCATGAAAAACACCTTCGCGAATAAACTACAATATGAAATAAAAACTTTCAAAAAAAAAATGATTTATTAGACTAGTTTACTTTGCGTTTTTTTGAGATGTTAGCTGTTGTAGCCATATTTTTATGGTCTCGTTATTAATCTGAAAAAAAAATAACAATTCGTTTTCCAATTAATAATGGAGCAAATTATCGTATAAAAAAATTTGTAAACAAGACAAACTAAGTAAAGAAAAGAAAATATAAGAAATTTAGAAGCTCAATAGAAATAAATCTATTGGTGATTAATGAGAACAAATGAAGAGAAAATGACATTGATCAGCCACTATTGCAAAATATTAATCTAAAAGTTTTATTTCGATTTTCTATATGTAAATATTTAAGGAAATAAAATGAGTTGAAATGCAATAGAGAATAATTGATCAATTTAACTGAAACGATTTACCGATATATGCTGACATCTCTCCAACAAGGATGTGTTTCTTGAAATTTTTCTCGTAACTTTTTTTCACGCGCATGAAGTACTTCAGCATGTTGAGCAAGAAAGTCATGTGCTATGAACACATTTTGAGGCATTTTAACGACTTAAATGCGTGTAACAATAACTCATAAATGGAATACTGCATGAAAAACAGTATGGACTGTACAGATTACTAGATAAATTTCTGCTGATCGCAAGCTAGTGATAATAATGCTTCACTGGATCTTGGTATTTGTCGCAGCAATACAAAAACCTATCTAAAAGGAGTGAAACCAATTTAAATTCAGTTTTATACTTGTAAAGGAACCAGCTCTTAACAGAGAATGGTACGAGATGCAAGGCTTGCCGAATAATATTTGTGTTTTGCAAGATATCCGAGTTATCTTGTTGATTGTAACCCAATAAAATTATGTTCGAATAGTGAAATTCGCCATGATTTTTCTATAATTATCAATAGTAACCAGAAGAGTAGATGTCATACCAGCAGCGAATGCTTTTGTGAAAAGATTCTTTAACTTTCCACTTAATTGAAATTTATTCAAAGACAAACACGTTTATTCCCAAGTCACAGTAATAACATGTTATTTATTTGTTAAAATGAGAAATTCATGAAATACTGATAAAAAGAAAACTTTTTTTTTTTACTGTCTATCTGTTTACATTGATTTTGTTTTGCATCGTATGTCTTTATGTTTTTTTTTTGTTATTGTTTGGTTCACTGTATTGTAAATGTTTTTGTCTACATTATATACATGACATTTGACATCGTACATCATATGCAGACAATTTTCATCCTCGTCAAAAATGCCAAAAAAAAGATTGTCCTCCAGATCGAACGTAGAAGGGTTCTTTGTCTTGCAAGGACGAAGAAAACTGTTCTGCGACATTCTCTGATTCCCAATAACAGTACAAATAACAAAGACTGTAACATGTAGATCAAAAAAGGGAATCTGGATGAGCAGTCATATTGAGACATTTTTTATGGAAAGGAGTGTTTTTTTGTGTTGAGCAGAACAGTTGATATTAGTTCATTTTAGTTGATAATTCCACGTACTCTAATTTATATGGTGTTTGTAAGTTTAACGTATATATGAGTTGTATCAATTATGCACATAATTGATACAAGAATTCAAGGGCTCAACTATGAAAAGAGGATCATGTGTTGTGAATACAGCTTCGGGTCTGTATACGTCAAGTGCATGAAAGCGATTATATTTTAAAAGAATATTTAATGACTTTAATGGACTACGGTCTAAACGTAGACCTCTTTATATTGGCTCAAGCTTCTTTTCAAACCATATTTATTTCCTATTAAAATTCAAACAAGTTATGACATGTCTACATCAGGACTTTAATTAGCATGTCAAAAATTGCTGTTTGGTTTTACGAGAAAACAATATAAAATTTTCTTCTAAAATGACTGCCAATTTCGTCTTTCATAAAAACTTTGTTATTTGTTTATTATATTGCTGTTAAATCAGATTATCATTTCAAGGGTAGCATATAATGAATGGCTATTTTTTAGCATTCAATATTAAATTCATCAAAAAATAGACTAAAACAAACTTTATATGTTATCATTAGAAGTGACCTTGTAGATGTGACTTTGTTCACAAAAGAGATAGAACTCGAGTTGAATATTTTTTGCTCTTGTGGAATTAATAACTAATACTCGATATACGAGCGATAGATACTATTTTGTTAGCCAAAAAGGCGTATGTTTTAACTTTAGTTAATTGTATACTTTTATCAATAACTTTCAGAGCCTGAAGTCACCAAAAATTTTCGCGATAGTTGTTAGACAACTAAGCATAATGTTCTTAGACATGTCGTGCAAATAGGACAGAAGTTCAGTTTCATCCTAATTAAGAATCCTTTAGAAGAGATACTAAATTATGAAAACAAACTTTTGTATGAGAGTAGTCAAGATGCTGCAGATGATTGCAAAGGTAAACATATTCACCCAAATTTCCATAATAAATCTGCTGATATAATGTATGAAGAATGATCGAACAATTTGTAGCATATGTTAGCGAGGTTCTTTTGCGTATCCTTACCTAATCACTTTCGATGCTTCCTTAGGAGACTTGAAGACTAAAATATCATGAGACGAGTTGCCCTAGCATCGAGAACTTGATATGTCTCATTAGAAAATGATGATGGTTATGGATTATAGTTCTAACTTTTAAGATAGACAAAAGTATACAATTAATTAAAATTAAAATTTACAACATTTTAAGATAACAAAAAAACATCTATTGCTCATATATCGAACATAAAGCGATGACTTAACAGGATCAAAAAGTCTTCAACTCAAGTTTTGTGTCTTCTGAAAACAAAGGCACATCTCTATGAGATAACTGTTTTAATGATCACATGTGAAGTTTGTTTTTGTCTATTCTTTGATTATTTAGTGCTTAGTAAAAACTTTTACAGAATCAACTTAATAGTGTCCTTCACAGTTGAATATCTGTCAATGCCACGCTCACCCATAAAAAAAGTCGCTGTCACAATGAATACTTCTGAATCAAATAGAACTAATGTAAAAAAATAACGCAAGAAGATTCATAATGACTCAATGATCGATCTTTGATTATCATAATTAGATCCGCTCATTGATAATATAGCATTTGTTAATATAAACTTTTGTAATATTTGATGATTAATAAAGCCTCTTTAATGCTACACATTTTGTTTTTGTTTCATATGCTGAATGACGACATCTTTTTTTATTCTTCATAACTGTTATTTTTTGAAAAGAGGCTATCACCGATAGTAACACATTTGTGTGAACGGTTTGATTGATTACTCTTTTCTCTTTTAAATAAGATCTTGACCGATTTTCAAGAAAAAAAACAACAACTCTGATAATGGCTGAAGCAAGATCAAGTTTCAGTGGTTCATCATCAGCTGAACATCTTGCCGGTGTTGCAAATGAAGAAGCTGACGATGTGGAACTTCATCAACGGCTAGAAAAAATTGAGTAAATATATTTAAATTATTACATTTTCTATTTACTTTTTATTTGATAAGATAGAAAACTTTAGAAAAAAATCAATCATGTGTAAGTGCTCATTTCAGCTATTCTGCTTTAGCTCATTGATAGGATAGATTATCTTTCTATTTTCTGAGAAGAAAAAAACATTTGCTATTTTAATTAGACGTGAAATAATCGATTTAACATTTGAAAATAATATTTTCGAACTAAACTTGGAACGAAAAAAGTCTGAACCAATCACAGTACCAGCTACAACAACAGCTGCAGTTAGTTCTTCTCAAGCAACAACACCAACAGGTTCATCTCAAGATTTAACAGCAGCTGGTGGTACAAGTCGAAGTGATCGTTTTGCACGTAAACGATCAAAATCACGAAGTACACAAGGTGACTTTCGTATACAATTAACACTTGAACAAAAACTTGATATTATTACAACGGAATATGAACAGATGCGAAATGAAAAAAATCGTCGTGAAGCAGCAAGTGAAAAAAAAATCGATCAACTTGAGGTTTGTTTGTAGTTTTGAAATGAATAATATAAGAAACTCAACTAACCTTGTCTTTGTATTTCAGTCTGATGCTGAATGGATTGATATTGAAATAAAAGATTTCGAATCAGCTATAGTTGAATTTCTTAAAACAAAAGAATCTTCAATTGATAAACGTACACATAAAATAATTGGTGAAAAAATTGATCGTTATTTTAATGAACGTATTAAAGCACGTGAATCATTAATAAATAAATTACGTGATCGTTCATCAGGTTTAAAAAGACAAATTGTACGTTTAGAAACACAATTAAGACAAAAAGAAGAAATGGGTGAAACGTTACATGAAGTCGATTTTAATCAATTGAAAATTGAAAATAAACAATATTTAGATAAAATTGATGAAAAAAATGTTGAACTTATTTTACTTAAACGACAAGTTGGTAAAGCAACACAATCACTTAATCGTTATAAAGATGATTTAAATAAACAAATTAAAGATTTAATTGATATTGAACAACGTATTGGTAAACAAAGTAGTTTATATACACGTGCTGAACAAGAAATGATTGATGCCACATATGAACAATCACGTGCTGCAAAAGTACATCATCATCTTGCTGAACAGACAGAAGATTATCAAGTACCAGAAGTATTAGATTATGTGAAAAAGAAAGCTTTACTTTATAATCTTGAACGTGATTGTGAAGTTTGGGCAAGAAAAGTTGAAATTGCTTCAGTGAGTAATTTGTATTTTTTCTTC